GACTATTTACAGTGTGTGCTGTGTGTGTGCCCTCCCAGAGGTGGGGGGGCCTGTGGGGTGGGGGTGCCCAGGGGGCAGAGCCTGGGAACAGGAGCCAAGCACCACAGCCCTTGGCCACTCCCCCAATGAGGCCAGTGGGTGGGGGGGCACTGCTCTGCTGGTGCACCCATCTCCCCCTCCTGCAGACTGGGCCAGCAGGGCCTGCATACAGTCCTGGCCCCACTGCAGGCAGCTCCTGCCCTGCAGCCACATGGATCCAGGGCAAGCAGTGGGCCTGGGCTCAGGTATGGGGGCTGGGTGGCAGGGAACCCAGGGAGGGGGACAGGGCAGGGGCTCCTAGGCAGTGGAAACACTGCTGCACCTCAGCCCAGGCCCATGGCAGGGGGTCTATTACTGGGTGGCAGGCAGCTGCCAGGGGACACCTGCTGCTCCAGGACCTCCACTTGCCACTTTTCCAGGAGAGGCTCCTGGACGTGAAGCTTCTGGTCTACCCAGTCCCTCACCTCCTTGCGGTGGTCACTGGCAACCTTGCAGGCAGTGTCCTTCACCCACCAAGTCTGTGAGTCCTCCAGATGCTCCTCAGCCATGGTGGTCCAGGAACCGGGTCCAGTCCTGCATTCTGCACTGCCAGAGCTGATGCATCTGCAGGACCCCAGCACATCCTGGCTGCCAACAGGTGCCTCTCCCTTGTATGCAGCTGCAGAGCCTATGGAGCCAGGAGAAAGTTGTTGTTTGTGACATGTTTGTGAGAGTTTGAAACATTTCTGAGGTAAGATGCTATGTACCAGGGATGCTGTGCAGTGCCCAGCCTCAGATCAGGGGCATGCATGCACGGGTGCCTACAGACCATGGTAAGTCAGGCAGGTAGGCCCTGGCACAGGCGGCTGCTGGAACCTCCCCTCCCCCATTTCTCTCCTACCCCGTTCCCAGGCCAGAACAAGCCCGGCTCCTGGCAGCACCTGCTGCTATGTCTCCAGAGCCACTCCCCTCCCCCTCTACCTTTCTCCTTCTGCAAGCCAGCCAGTCTCCTGAGCTACCATCAAGCCCTGCAAACCTGGGATAGGTCTCTGAGCTTTAACAGTGTGAAGGGCAAGCCCACCCTGCCCTGCAACCTCTGTCACTGCCTGGAGGGCTAACTGTGGCTGCATTACATGTTCCTGACCCCTGTAGCTAAGGACATTACCACCAGAATTGATGAATTCTTCAGCATGTGAGAGGCCTATGCCCACCGACTGGTTGTGGTACAGGCTGCTCAATAAAGTTTTACACTTCTCCCGCCTCCCGGCATGCTGTGGTGAGGCATGGGAGGAGGCCCTAGGGGGGTACAGTTGGACCAGGTGGAGAGGGGAGGACAGGGTTAGGGGCCTGAGCAGGGACAGAGAGGGCCTTCCTCCCAGTGCAGGGCTTAACAGGTGGCCATTGCAGGCATGTCTGACATCCCGAATCAGTGTCCACTGGTGGCAAGGCTGTGAGACTCCCAGTGGTTTCCTGGTGTGCAGCGGTGTGGCATCTGGCTGCCCAGGGAGGAGCTGGAGCTGGGGCACTTGGTGGGATGAGGGGCTTAGGGGCCCTCCTGCAGTGACACATCACTGAGGGTGCCAGGCTGCAGCAGAGGCTTGGGCAGGTCATCTGTGCTGGAGTACCCAGCATGGCTCAATTCGGGATGCTGAGGTGCGAAGGTATCTAAAGGGCATGGACTTGCAGGCAGCCCCTGACTGGCAGTTGTGGCTGGGGCAAGTGACCCACTGTGCCCACAAGGCCTTGACCTTTATGCAACACTGGTGCACCAACCTGCCATGCCCTCACACCTGCATGAGGCCTGACAGGCCCTCATAGATATGCACATTGGAGTGCTCACTCCGCACAAACTGGGTGAGAACCTTGGCCTTGCCCCACAGTGTGATGAGGTCCACAGTCTCCCCTTCAAACCAGTTGCAGCCCCATGAGGTGGCATGTGGTGTGTAGACACAGACACTTACTGTGTAGTAATTTGCCCTCCTGCCCAGTAAAACATTTTGTGTAGATGTGCCCTATGTCTCCAAGTCCACTAGTCATACCTCAATCCATTGGAGGTATGACCAGGTATGAAGTTATCCATGCTGGTATGAGTTATTTGGGATCTTATGAATTTGGTTTCTGCATTTCCTGCTAGTTTTAAAACCTCTGAGACTATCCTTCAAGTTAGTGCTCCCCACAGTGGCAACCAGTTGGGTTACAGCACTCTCTCCTAGCAACTGGCAGTCTTCAAACTGAAAAACAACTCCTGGTTTGCTTTTGGACATTCTGCTTGGCCACAAATATATATGAACTACAGTACTGCTCACAACTAAAATGATTAACTTAAAAATGGAAATGTTTGCTGAAGCTAGTCAGAATGATGGCATAATATTATTTATGTAGATGGGTTGATTCTTGTAGATTTATATTTTGTATGGTAAATCTAAATGTTTTGCTGGACCGGTGTGCAAAAGATGAAGAATGATACTTATTTTGATCCCCTTAAGGTATGCATATTTTATCCTTGTGAAACACAGCCTGCAGAATTTTGGATTTACTCCAAAACTCATGCTAAATTAATCTAAATTCAAACATGGGCTAGTAAATCTCTTATTAAATATTTATCATTCTGATTTTATTTTTTAGGAAGATGCCTTAAAAGTAATCCAGTTCCCTTTTCCTTAAGTGCAATACGAATACACAGTGGCCTCTATTAAAAACTCTTAGTTCCTGATCCAGCAAGTTCTAAGCACCTTCTATAAGTTACTAAGTATGCTGAACTCTTGTTGACCTCAGCGGAAATTAAAATTGTTCGACAGCTTTCAGGACTTAGCATCTTTCAGGACAAATACTTCAATATTTTGTAGTATTACATATATTAAGTACAAGAGAGTACTGGGGACATTATAAATACTGTGTTCTGTGAGGACCCCTCTACACATGCAGGTAATGGCATGATGGGATCTAATGCATGATCCATGCAATCACACCTCCTGCCATGGCACAAGCGCATGGCAGGAGGCACAATTGTGTGGACTGTGCATTAGATCCCATTGCTCTCTATTGCTAGTGCAGGAGGAACCTGATCCTGGGCTCCCCCTGAACCAGAAGCAAGCGCCCCTGGGTGCAAGCCTGGATCAACTGACCAGGCTCTCAGCCTCAAGGGAGCCCCAGGGGTCCCTGCAACAGGAAGGCTGCAGTTGCTGTGATCTCCCAACTGTAGAGGGAGGCTTCACACACCCTTGCAGCTGGGAGACCACAGCAGCTGAGATCTCTGAGTCATGGGAAGAGGTGGAGAGGGAGAACTCCATTCACCCCTTAACTGGCCACATGTTCAATTTATGGCAGTGATAGGAAACAGATACAAAGTTATTACACATCTTTTATGGAATAACTTGGTAGCTTATTCCTCTTTTTATCATGCCATTAATTGAACATGTGGCTGTGTGACGACTTAAGGCATATGAACTGGTTAATCATGCCTTAAGTGTAACATACATGGGGCCTAAGACAGAAGAAACATTTAAGGATGACTACTAACTTAACTTGTTTGGTTTTTTGACTCATTAAATCTCGTCTGTTATCTGAAGTCTTCCCCTTTCTCTTTCGAATGGAAATGGGAACTGCTGTATTTTCTATGAGAACTGAATGACAGTTTGCTAAGACCATTTGAGATCAAATTATTCTGCAAGCCTGGGATACAGAGTTTTAGACTTATTTCCATTAACAACAGGCAAAAGCATCTAAGCTCCCTTTGAGCCTTTCCTCCTCTCCCCCACCTCCCTCACACAAATACACCGTTTCCCCCCACAAACTCATTTATAGTATCACATGCCAACAAAATCCATCTGCTAAAGGATTTGATTCTCCTGTTACAAAAGTAAGTATCCACTCTACAATGTCTAAATTCACTAAGCCAAATTCTCTGCAACTCTCCCCACCAAAAACCTAAAGCTTACTTTATGGGTATTATTATAACTCTGCATTTAATAAAGGGTTTCTGTTTCTTTGTCTCTTTCTAAAATACATTAATCTGATAGCAAAATTGTTACATGTGGCACACACTAAAATGTAATTATTTGCAGGTGAAGATCTATTCTGGGTTATTCGATATGGTTTGGTTCACAATCTAGTTATGATGTGCAGTGAACTCAGTGGGGATGTGAGCCGAGAAGGATTAAGGAATACAATGTGGAAAGCTTTACAGAAACAAAAGAACAGTATAAAGGATGACAGAATCCTGACAGCTGTAACAGTAGCTGAGGTATGTATAAAATTTAGTAACCAAATAGATTATTACTAGTGCAGACTGATTACTGTAATATAATTTGAATACTTATTTTTAGAGTGAAAAATGAGGATGCTTTCAATTATAGAAATAACCTCTGCTCCATGGCTAGAAAGGACACTGGCTAGTAATGCTGGTGTTCTCTGCTTCATGTCATACCCATAAGACGATAAACATTCTGTATTTAAAATAGGCTCAAAACAGTTCCCTTTTAAGTGAAAAATAACCTATTTTAAACTGTTGTGATGCGGCGAAGAATACCAACTAACATTTCAGTTGAATTTTTAATATACTACTAGCCTATTAAAATAACACCCAGATACTGACTTCTCCTTCTGTTGCATTGGCAAGCAGTTAACTGTTAACAGTGGTTGATTTTTTTGCCAACATTGATGATGGTTGGTGGACAGACAGAAGTTAAAACAAAAGAAAACAAAACAACCCAAGCTGCTATGATAACTTCTATATGACTTCTATAACTTCTATATAATAACTTAAATAGAAAAAAATAGTAAATAACACAAGGTGTTTTCTAAGGTGCTATATACCTCACCTGGAACAGTTCTAAAGGTTCCACCAAAGTCAGTGGCGCAGGATTGTTTATCCGATGCATTACAATATTGCCTAGAAACACCAGAACTTGCAGAAAGGAAAGACACACACACACACACACACACACACACACACACACACACACACACACACACACACACACACACACA